CTCGCAACAGTGTAACTTACCGATTGCATTTTATTGTTACCAATCTGCACATACCACCACTTTGAGCCATTTTCCTCACAACATCGCAATACGGGGAAGTGAAACACCTGAATATCTAGTAAGTAAATGCATGGCAGCTATAATCGGCTTCGACAAAGGGGCACCCCAGGGCATTAGGCTCGCAGGGTGCTCTTGGATTATCTCAGACTCAGCTTATCTGCAGCTCAAAAGCCGTGACAGGAAAGGGGGTCACGGCGTATCTAGCTTGTTCCCAGATGGTTAGCCACTGGATAGAGCCATTTCGATGCCCGACTGAGGCCAAACTCTAGTGTCACCTTATTCCTTTTTCCCAGACAGGGTTAAGTATTCTTGGGAGGTTACCGGGAGTGGGATCGGGAGAGGAGAGGAGGGGCTGCTAGGTCTCGATAGAAATGTTTCCGAACCGCAAGATATATTCTCTAGACTGTTGACTTTGTGCAATTTTTTCCCTTTTCATGAGTTGTCCCCTACCCTCTCCCCCCCTTTTCGACGGTATCCCCTTCCCCCTCCACTCGACAGTTTTTTGAGGTAAATCTGAAAAAAATTTGGAAAAATGGTATGATTGGGGCTAATTCGGGAGAAGGGATGGAGAAGGAGTGTCGCCTGACGCTGTCATATTTTTCCATCGCGATATTGCGCTCTGTTCCCCATGCAGGACCTTGTTCCCAATAGGGTGATACCGGCGCACCCATTATGGACGCCAAGAACCCTAGCGCCACCACTGACTTCTACAGGCCCTAGTCTGGCCCATTTGTTCCAGGTTCTTCAACATCCATCCATGTTTGGGAAGACGACAGGAAGAACTCAATACAAAAGGGTGACCCCACTGTTGATGGCCGCCAGGGCCAAGAAATTCAGGCGCTGGCGACGCAGCATTCTAGTGGGTACTGCAGAAGGGGCTAATCCTTACATTCTATAAAGCAGAAACTTTGTGTGTCGGTTTGTCGTATGTATGTATGTCGGTTTGTATGTCTGTCCGTCCGCAAAATGCTTTACGGGATTAAACACGTTAGTGAAAGAAGAAAACGACCGCTAGCCAAACCGGGAACCCATCGGTGCAGATGTATCAATCCAATGTTTTGATTGTGATAACAGCATATATAAGACAACCACTCGGTACACTCCGAGCCATTGCACGAGCTGCTGCCGTGGCAGCTGGACGTGTCTCGTTTATTCGAATATAGTAGATCATGCAATTAAGAAAACTAGTTTCTGCGTGCCGTCGCAACTCGAATCTCCTGCCCCAAAATTCCGTGTACGGCCGTTTTCGCTGCAGTCTCTGGGTCGTGAGGGGCTAGGTCTGGCGCAGCCCAACCCGTTTCAAAACCGTTTCTTTTCCGCCCGCTTCAGCGTTCGAGGGGACGAAACTGCTAGCTCCCTGACGTGCCGTAGCTTCTGCAGCGAACGACAGTGATGAGTGCCAGTAGAATGCTTTTGAAGGCCTATTCACCTAATTCTTCTACTATAAATCACCTCATCTATTGTGTTCCTGTGCACCAGGTGAAGCTGAATAGCTGCTCCTACATCGTTGTTCTTATCTTTTCTGTAGTAAAGTGCAAAGTCATCAGCTTTCACTAATGCAGCAGCCTGTAATAAAGCTATTTCCCTGGAGGGATTGGGCAGTGTCACTTGGACTATTCTCCCTCCTCATCACTGCTACCCTCTGTTTGCCGTTCCACATGGAAGAAGGTATCCACCAATGAGGTGAGCGAAGTAGCCAGAGGGTCCAGATGTGGTGAACCTGCTTTTGAAGCGAAAGTGATCGAGACTTGGCCATCCCCTATCTCTCTTCCGGCGTCCCACGGACGAGATAAGTTCAGTGGTCGCTGTTTGAGGCGACCGGGGGGGGAGGGTTTGCACTTACGACTTCCCATCGACGTCGACCCAACTAGACAGCCTCTTCTCGAGTTGACAGGTTTCGCCATGATGGCTTGACGAGCTTGCTTCAGCTTCAACAAGTGTTCACGAAGACCATCAGAGTGACTCGTAAACCGGGACTATGGAAGCAGCTGAAAGTGCAAATTGCCCCTCCCCTGTCAAGGTAACTGCGCCCAGATGAGCTGGACTGACGGCATAAAGCAGAACGAGCAAGAGTAATAGCTCAGTCTCATCTATTGCTCAATTCGCACCACATCCTTAGCATATCTTATCATAAACATTAAAATGTGGCGAAGGGGAGCGGGCAACCCTAGGGCAAATTTTTCGCCCTAGGGTTACCCCGTTTCCCCTCGGCCAGACAAAAGCGTACTTTTGCATACCTCGTCACTGGTTTTAATTCCGATGAAGTGCTCTTCGATGCGTGTGTCCACAGCGAGCCGATACTATAACACTTGATAGTCTCATTGTACAGTTTTGTAAAGTCGCTAGACGCTGGAGCTTGTCAGGAGGGAGAGGGGGCTGGGGTCAGCGCGGGCCAATTCACCCCATTGGTGTAGCCTGTCAGCTTCCCTTAAATGGGTTTAGAACAACTGGCTGGCGCGTGCGCCGGCCCCTGACACGCCTCCAGCATCTGCAGTAAAGAAGGCTGTACCAACATTCGAAAATGTGGAGGGTACCCTGTAACTCACATCGGAATCGACTCTGGGAAGTGGCTCAAAGTCGGATTGGCTCTCGTTGTCGCGAATATAAATTGGGTCGTCGATCTCAGAATCCTGACAAAATTCAAGCTCACCATCCTACCGCCCTTTTTATCACTCACTTGAAATAAAGCCCACAAGGTCCAGTCCGCGCTAACTGTTTGAATGGGCAGAGACAGCCAATCAATGTCCCTTTCTTGAACAGACGCTCTTCCTTTTCGCCATTTTAGAGAGAACGTCGCACCAGTAAAAAAGTGCAATGCTTGGCTCCACCCATGCAATCAGCGTGGACTGTAGCTTTGATTCAGAAACTTACCGGGTATGTCCATCGTGTAGGCTCACTGACATAGTGGGCGATGGCTTTCGCCTTCGGTTTCCTACAAGATTGAATGATTGGTAAAGGAACTGAGAGCTTTCTAACAAACACTCTTAGGCTGTACTGCACTAAAGGGTCTCTTCAATGTCCACCAGGAAGAAGCACTTCTTGGAGGGACTCTTCCTCGACACTCAAACTAGCCCGTAGTAATCATTTCAAGTCGCGAATGGGCGCTGATCTTATCGTAAGGAAGAAAAGAAACAAGGCCGCACATTTGCTGAAGCATCTGCGTCTTCCCAAGGAGATAAATGGTTTGCGGTGCGCTGGCTGTCGAGCACAAGGCAAAAAGTGGTTTAAACCTTCTGTTGCCTCCTTTCTGAGCAGGAGAGAAGCTGTCCATTTTTGGTCGCGCACTACTTACCATGTGCTTAGCCTCACTATCGATTTTACACGCTTAGGTCGATCTACAAGGTAAACGAGGGATTGTTTTAGCAAGAATTTGTTTACATCAATCTAACCGCTTTATCAGCTCTGCCTTATCACCGTGGAGATCCGGTTTTCATTTGGAAGCACACATTTTTGTGGTGTGGTCTGAAGTTTTGAAAGCGGCGCAAAGTCAGGTTCATACTTGGCAGTGCGCCTGGCTGCGCTGCACGGCTGCAGATTAGACAATGTTTTATAGCAGAGACGCAGGTTGGTAGAAGAAAAAGAATCATTCGTAGCTCCAGGTGGACCTAAGCCGCGCATCGAAGAATGCAATCGCTCTCAAGGTTAGCAGCATCTCGAGAACTAGCGCCAATACGGGCCCATTGACCACAGAATCGAGGAGAACTTTAGGTTTTCTCCTGAGAGCGCTATTAGAGCGCTATCTTCTGGGAGAGAACTTCTTTCCCTGGATTCGTGTCAGGAGATCCGGATTGCGGCGAGGCAGCGGAACCGTAAGTGGTGTCGCGTGCGTGGCACGTGCATTACGAGCTGCAACGACGATGAATCGTCGCGACTGGGGTAACCCAGGTGCCCCACATCGCCGCAATTCGGATGTCCTGACCTGCGCCTCGATGGCAAAAACACCTACCGGATCGCTTTCTCCTTCACCACTCGTACTAGTCGGTAGAGTGCTTTTCGATGTCCCACTGTTTGACCTGAAATGTATCACTCTCCAGGTGGGGTCTTATAGTAGTTGTGACACCGTAGTATGCCAAGGTGACCGAAAGAACTCACGTCTGACTCGTCTGCTTTTTCTGGTAAGAGTTTTCTTGTGTCATAAGCAATACACTGCCGATTTGTAGACTCTAGAATAATATGAATGAAACCTACCCGTGTACTTTTTGAACACAGTGTTATCAAATTTCATTGTTTTGAGCTATGGAGTTTGGTTCTACCCGATCAATAACTATAATTTACACGCTACAATGGGGACGAGCAAGAGAATCGTAG